AGGACGTCTCGGGCGGGAGCGGGGGTCCGGGTTCAATTATGAGGAAGTCTGAAGCGGGAGCCGTTGTTGTTGTAACCCGGGGGCCAGGGGCACAGTTTGAGCATCAAGACTTTCCCTGTCAAAAAACAAGGTGCGAGCGTCGAGATGCACACTTTGATTGAGAAATAACATCATGCACCGGTGAATGGGGATCAGCAGTAATTCTTCTTCACAAATGAGTATTCAACGACGACGACGACGACGACAACAACACCAACGCCACCATTAACAACAACAATCATTTTACGACAGTTCGCTCTTATCTGCTCGAGTGTCCAATAACGTGTATTTCCCAAACACTCGATGCCCGCCCTCTTTGACTTTGATCGTACCCTTTTTGGGGGATAAGCCTTTCTTCCCTGCAGGCCGGGCCCCGGCAAGCGGCGGGGCGGCCGCGGACAGTCGGCCTGGCCATCTTCTGCGCTGATCGGCGGCAGCCCGACCCCAAGAGGAACGGACAGGGGACCGACCACGACGACGACGACGACGACGACTTCGACGACGACGACGACGACGACGACGACGGCGGCGACGACGACGACGAGCTAAAGCGAGAGAGAGAGAGAGAACGACAGCAGGGCCACGAAGGGCACGAAGTAGGCCACGAAGGGCGACAACGGGGACACGAAAGGAATGCGTATGGGGCCACAACGGGCGCGAACGAGCGGGGGCCACGAAGGGCAGATAGTGTGGGGCCACATAAGGCAACGACGGGCCCACTGAGGGTAGCAACTGGGCCACGTAGGACAGGGAGGGGGCCACAAAGGGCGACAGCGGGGCCACGAAGGACAGGCAGATGGGGCAACGACGGGCGCGAACGAGCGGGGGCCACGAAGGGCATACGTATATTGGGCCGCGGAGGGCAAGGACGGGGCCACTGAGGGCAGCAACGGGGCCACGAAATGCAGCGAGGGGGCCACGAAGGGCGACAGCGGGGCCACGAAGGGCATGCATATGGGGCCACGACGGGCGCGAACGCGCGGGGGCCACGAAGGGCATACACATATGGGGCCACGAAGAGCTGCAACGGGGCCACGAAGGGCAGCAACGGGGCCACGAAGGGCATCGAATGGGCCACGAAGGGCTGCAACGGGGCCACGAAGGTCAGCGAGGGGGCCACGAAGGGCAGCAACGGGGCCACAAAACAAAGCGAGGGGGGCCCCGAACGGCTGCAACGGGGCCACGAAGGGCAGCGAGGGGGCCACGGAGGGCAAGGACGTGGCCACTGCAACGGGGCCACGAAGGGCAGCGAGGGGGCCACGAAGGGCTGCAACGGGGCCACGAAGGGCAGCGAAGGGGGCAACGAAGGGCTGCAACGGGGCCACGAAACAAAGCGAGGGGGCCACGAAGAGCTGCAACGGGGCCACGAAGGGCAGCAACGGGGCCACGAAGGGCTGCAACGGGGCCACGAAGGGCAGCGACGGGGCCACGAAGGGCTGCAACGGGGCCACGAAGGTCAGCGAGATCCCGGTTCCTACGTTATCTGTGAGGGAGTCATAAGCGGGAGCGCGACTCCTGGGTGCCTGCGTGTCGAGAGCGCGGCGCCTGAGTAAATTGCAAGAAATTCTTACGCAAAGGCACCATTCTTGAGTAAATTGCAAGCGAGTCTCCAGCGAGAGCGCGACTCCAGAGCGCCGAGAGAGGAATTCCTGAATAAATTGTAAAGAAATCCCAAGCGAGAGCGCGATACCTGAATGACATGCGAGGAAGTCTCGGGCGAGAGCGGGGGTCCGGGTTCAATTATGAGGAAGTCTGAAGCGGGAGCCGTTGTTGTTGTAACCCGGGGGCCAGGGGCCCAATTTGAGGAGGAAGATTTTCCGGGATAAAAAACAGAGTGTGAGTGCTGGGAGGGGCACTTCAATTGAAAAATACAATGTGCACCGGAGGGGCGGGATCAACCATAATCATTCTTCAGTAATGAAAGTTCAACATCAACAACAACAATCAGTTTAAGACTGTTCGCTCGTTTCTGCTCGATGTCCCGAACCCTCGATACCCGCCCTCGTCGTCTTCGATCATAGCACTTTTGGTGGATATATATTTCTTCGTGAGTTCTGCGTGAGTAGCCAGGAAGTTTCCAGCGAGAGAGCGATTCCTAAGTAAATTAGAAAATCCCCAGCGAACGCGCGATTCCTGAATGGCAAGAGCGCGGCGCCTGAGTAAATTGCGAGAAGTCGCAGGCGGGAGCGCGATTCTTACGTAAATTGCGAGGAAGTCTCGGGCGAGAGCGGGGGACCGAAGTAAATTTCGAGAAAGTATCAAGCGGGAGACGCTGTTGTTGCAAACCATGGGGCAGGGACACAATTTGAGGAGGAAGACTTTCCTGATAAAGCAGGGTGGGAGCGCCAGGAGTGGCATGTCAATTGAAAAAATACAATGTTCACCAGATGGCGGGATAAACAATAATTATTCTGGAGCAAAGAGAGTTCAACAACAACAAACAACAAAAACAACAACGCGACAAGCAGAATCTTCACCACGGATCCCCACTTCAGCCACGCACCCAGGGACACTGAATGACCGTTCGGCCCCCTCACTCTGATATATGTACATTCATATATACATATATATATATATATATATATATATATACGCACATATATGGTTTTCGCCCAGGAGCCACTTCCTCAAGAAAACAGCCCAAAAAGATCTGGACCCCATCGTGGGAACCAGCCTTTCATCCTGAGCAGTTCTTTGACTGCCTTGGTGCCCCTTGCAAGGGCCTCCACAGGCAGACCATTTACGAAAACCTTCTTTGACCTTCCGGGGTGCTCACGAGTAGCTCTCCAGACTTATAGGCTTATCTGGACTGCTGCACCCCCGGGCAAGAATTTGGACGTCGACGTATTGGTGCTATTGTTTAGCCCTCCTGGTAGGTTAGCACAAGGCAGCCGAGCTCCGAAAAGCGCGCTGTCACCCAACATAAAGCTTTCTCAATGCAAGCTGTCCCTGTGAGGCGATCCCCCCGCGAGGGGCCCTTCGGTGCACGCTGGTCCCCTGCCAGGGCTCCTTCTGCGCACGCGATCCCACGGTGAGGGACAGCATGGAATGAGCGGGCCAACGGCGCCACATCGCAAACTATCTTCGCATCGCCAACCGCGCGGGCCTCCACAGGCAGAACACGTGCCCAAGCCGAGCTTCGAGCGCCTGTCCGGGGTGCGAGGAGAGGGGCGACGCGAGGGGGGCTCCGGCGTGCTCTAGCGCCGTGGCACAGAACCATGACTGGAGGGCTTCTGCACTTCCCCGGGGACCGCCACACGGGACGCAGAAGGACATACTAGTACTGAGTATCGTTCAACCGATCCCCATCCCCCGCGGCGTGGCCTGGGCCCCGCTGGCCGATTTACTCCCTTAGATGGGGATATAAGTCGTTCCCTTCGGGTTTCGAGGGGTGTATCCCCAACTGGGGCGGTAATTTGGTGGGGGTCTCGAAGGGGATGGGGATGGGGATGGAAATCGGTTCAACGATACCGAAGTACTGTGTGTCCTCCTTGAAGCCGCGCGTCCAAACCGAACATACAATACAAACATCTTGTAGCATGAGCGGCATGACCGACAAGGCGCCCACCACGGAGCTGATATTGCAGAATTTCTCGGCGCGCGCATGGCCCTGTTGGGGGCGACGCGCACCTGATATTAGTACGTTGGGATGACGCCGGTCAAACAGTAGCTCAGGATGAAAGGCCGGTCCCCGGGAAGGGGTCTGGACCTCTGGGGGGCGGTCCGCGCTGCGAACAAGTCATGACGACTGGGGTCTGCGGGGATGGCGCGAGGGGAGCGGCCTTCTGGATCGAATCGCGGACGCGGATCCGGTCGGAGGCGGCTCGGATCACCACTGGGACGTCCCGAACGGAATCGAAGCGGGTCGCCGCGCCTGCCGTGGCTGGCATCTGGCCAATGCTGGTGAATCGGAACGAATCGGAATCGCAGCCCCGGCTGGCGAATCGAGTCACATCGGCTCGGATCGTACAGGCTGCCCCCTGCCTTCCCTGACATCAGGGCGTCGTGGAAGGATCACGGCAGACATGTTTGCCACCTTCTTGCATCTGGGAGCCGTTGCCGGGCCCCAGGGCCACGAAAAAGCGACTCTCGGGAGCCACGCTTTGAATAGCGCGCCAGGGGCGGCGCCGGAAGCGCCGCCGAGGGGGTCCAGCGCGGATCCAAGAAATCCGTGCGGAGCACCAGACGTTTATGTTTACAGCGTGCTGTCTTCCTCGATTGAACAGAACACACGACGTCGGAGGTCTGGGCCCCTCCTCCCCGGCGCCGAGAGGCGACCAAGTGTCGAGGGAAGTGCCCGGGCCAGCGGGGCCGAAACGGGCTGCAGGCGCAGCAGCCTGCGCACCCCACTCCGAAGCCTCGCCCCGTGCCGTCTGGTCTGAGGATAGCGTAGGAGCCCCTGCACAAAAGAAGCCTTCCACCAGAAACCCAGAGGTGTATTTCGCAGCAATCGTGCGCAGGCGCATTCGCCGCAGACGCGGGCCCGCGCGACCCTGACCAAAGCGCCGCCCTGAGACCCCAAGACGTCCATTGGTTCTTGGTGTGGGAACGCCGCTCCCTCCATAGCAGAACCATCGAAGCCCAAGTTACCCGGGGCACCCTGAAGGCGAGCATGGTGTTTCTTGGCATGGGTATCCACTGTATTCGGGGTCCCAAGCGGTGTGGTGAAAGATCGTGCCGTGACCTTGAGATCCCCAGCGACCTCGTAAGAAAGGTCCGTCACCGCAACGTTTTGGGACCTCGGAGGCCCCCAGTCGCCCGAGACGTCCCCAGAGAGCAACCCAAACCCCAAAGCCGCGCGGTCACTCCGAATCCACCCTGGCTCAGGTCACCGCACCGTTTGGGGGCCCCCGAGAATCTGTCGCCAAGAGGTGCGGGGAGGGACGTCTGGGGGGGAGGGAAGAGGACACGAGGCCAGGGTCGGTGCAGCATGGTGGCTCAGCGCCGCCCCGTCGGCTCTCCTCGCCGGTGCCGCTGCCGTACCCGCCCCGGCGGTCATCCGCGTAGCCGTAGCCTTGCCGCGACGGCGGGGAGCGGGGCTGGCAACCGACCCTCCGCCCGAGGAGAATGGAAGCCGGGAGGGCAGACGAGAGAGGCGGGGAGGGAGGAGGGGGGAGGAGGGGGGGATGGGGGAGAGGGGAGAGGAGGGGAGAGGGGGGATAAGAGAGGGCGCGAGGCGGGGAGGAAGGAAGGCTCACTTGACTGCTCAAGTGGTGAAGGACCCCTCGGGGCCGAGACCGCCCCACCGCGAGCGTCACCACCCCGAGGGGCCTAAGGGCCAACGCAGTCGGGGTCGGCGGGTCAGCGCCCCCGGGGGGGGGGGGGAACCCTGCATGCTCGTCCGTGCCACCTGGCCCCTGGCCGCCCCTCCCTGGCCCGCGCCCAGGGGGGGCGCCGTGCAGGCCGGGCAAGCGCGGCGGCACTGCTCCCCTGCCAGGGCCCTGCCATAGCACTGGGCAAGCCCCGCAGCCCCCCACCCTCGAGCGGCCTGCCGAAGGCGGGACAGGCCACCAGAGCGGTCGGGCGGGCTAGGCGGGCTAGGCCTGCGCAGGAGCCCGCTGGCATCCCGCGGGTTCCAGCGCGGCCCAGGGGGGCGGAGGCAGGGAGGGGAAGCAGGGGTGCGGGGCAATAGGAGAACCGCCTCGCCCATCAGCGGTAAGGCAACCTCCCAGGCGCGGCCCCTCTGCTGGGCTGGGGTCCGGCGCACGGCGCGCTCCGAGGCGGGGAAGGAGGACAGGGACGAAGGGAAGCGACGAGGAGGAGGAGGAGAAGGAGGAGGAGGAGGACGACCTGTGGAAACCCAAGAATCATCAACGATGTTGGAATTAACCCGCCCTCCAAACTCCCTCTTCATGGGCCCCTACAACGGTTCATTTCCATTGAGGGAACTGCCTCGCTGGAAAACAACGGTTTGAAGATCCTGAAGCGTGCCAAAATATTGTTCTCGGGATTTCAGCGCCACGCATCAACCTGACTGCTGCGTTTCGACGATCCACAATCGTGCCAGAACGCCATGTTTGTGACTTCGACACAGCGAATCAACATAATTGTTACGCCCGCATATTCCTGAATCCTTCCAAAACACCATTTCTGGGACGCTGAACATGGGAATCCGTGAAACTCTTGAATCTTTTTTTAATGATAAAAAAACACGAATGCACGCGGCGCTAAAGCGAAAACCACATTTTGAGAAGGAGCCACACTCAATCTGTGAAAGTCTGGCAAATGTTTAAACGAATGTGCGCGGCGCTGAAGCGAGAGCCACATTTTAAAAACCACCCGCCCTCAATCCGTGAAACTCTTCCATTTGCTCAAACGAATGCGCGCGGCGCGAAGGCGAGAACCACATGTTGAAAACGACCCGCTTTCAATCCGTAAAGTTCCAACAAAATTTCAAAACGAATGTGCAAGGCGCTGCGGCGAAAACCACATTTTGAAAACGAACCGCCCTCAATCCGTGAACCTCTTACAAATGTTTAAAACGAATGCGCGCGGCGCTGAAGCGACAACCACATTTTGAAACCACCCGCCCTCAATCCGTGAACCTCTTGCAAACGCGGCGCGAAGGCGAAAGCCACATGTAGAACAAAAACCGCCGTCAATTTGCGGAATTGCTGTCACTGCTAAGTTGCAGAATCATAAATTGTGAGGATATCTCAAGCGAAACGCCCGGCCCGCCCAAAAAACTGGCCTCGTGGTGCGACAGGAAGGAGGTATGTAGAAGGAGAAGGAACGGAGGAGGAGGACGAAGAGCAAGAGGAGGATGCAGAGGAGAAAACGCGGGGGGGCAGCAAGGGGGGCAGGGGCAGGAGAGATGCGGCATCGGGGGCGATGATCCCACGCCTATACCCCCAACCCCCCACCACCACAAACAACCGCGCCGGGCTGTTTCGGGGCATTCGGGCGGGCAAGGCAGGCAAGGTAGGCGGCCTCGGCGCGAGGGGCCCCGGCCCATCCCCCAAGCCCCCCATCACAAACAACCGCGCCGGGCTGTTTCGGGGCAGTCGGGCGGGCAGGGCAGGCAGGGCAGGCGGCCTCGGCGCGAAAGGCCCTGGCCCCTCCCCCCAGCCTCCCACCACCACAAACAACCGCGCCGGGCTGTTTCGGGGCAGTCGGGCGGGCAGGGCACGCAAGGCAAGCGGCCTCGGCGCGAGGGGCCCCGGCCCATCCCCCCAGCCCCCCACCACCCCAAACAACCGCGCTGGGCTGTTTCGGGGCAGTCGGGCAGGCAGGCAAGGCAGGCGGCCTCGGCGGGGGCCCTCCAAGGACCTGCAGGGGAGGAGGGGGCGAAGGAGAGGAGGAGGAGGAGGAGGAGGAGGAGGAGGAGGAGGAGGAGGAGGAGGAGGAAGAGGAGGAGCAAGCAAGCAAGACCTGGCAACCGCAGTCTCCGCTGTCTGGCTCACCTCCGTGTGGGCGAATGCTCTAGCAGCGACAATTGCTGCTTGTATGTTGGATGCGCATCTCGGGCAAACCTGCGGGACTCTACGGCCCATCTCGTCCCTCAAAGCCCGCTTTAGCACGAAGGCGCACAGCACTGCATTCAACACACTAGGCGCTGAGGCGCAGAGCACTAGGCACATAACTTCAACCTGGGGCTGATGGGCGCCGGGGGAGGCCCCTTGGAGCAAGGGTCTCGAGAGAAAAAAACTCGCAGACCTCTTCGGGTCTCGCGCATCGCGCGCGCGCCTCCGAGCTCTCGAGATCTCCCCGCTCTCCCCCCCCCCCCCACCCCCCCACACCTCGCCTCGCAACCCTCTATTTCGATGCAAGCGGCTACACGCAGCCGATAAGCTTAGCGTGGCTTCACTCTGCGCGGCCCACGCAAAGGTCGAACGGGTCGTAGCCCGACGTCGCTGCGACCGCTAAAGAAACCCTCGCTGCACGCGCACAGGCGTGTTGTTAGGTCCTACTTGCTCGGACACACTCGAAAGTCATCCGAAAAGGAGAGACACAATCAATGGCCTCCAGCAGCTGCTACGTGCCCAGGCGCCAAATCTAGGGGCCGACGGTTCCGCGCAAAGTCCCAGCCAAACCCCGAGGGAGCCGACGGTTCCGCGCGCGGCCCCAGTCGACCCTCAGGCGACCAGCGGCTCCGCGCGCGGCCCCAGTCGACCCCCGACGGAGCCGACGGTTCCGCGCGCAGTCCCAGCCGACCCCCAGAAGACCGACGGTCCGCGCGCGGCCCCAGCCGACCCCCATGGGCGCCAACAGGCCCGCGCGCAGTCCCAGCCGAACCCCCGCTAGGCCGCGCTGCCGCTGGGGGCCCCTGGCCAGACCCCAGGACACCTGGGACCTGAAGAGGCTCGGGCATGATATGGCGCAAGCCGCGTTGGCTTAGCAGTCTCTTCAGAAGATTCCATTCCCATACTTACGTAGTATGTGGACCACAGCTGCAATGTACCGAGGCTTGCTTCGTGGCGACCACGCTGCGATTAGCAATCTCTTCAGAAACTGCATAACCATACTGGCGTAGTACGCGGCCACACAGCTGCGATGTCTTTGCGCGAATATGCCCGCTGTCGCTTGAGATCGCGCGGCAATGCTGTAGCTCTCGCGCTTCCCGCAGCCGCGCATCAATTGCTCCCGCGCCGGCGCCAGCTCTGCCCGCTCGAGCGCCCCTGGCGGGGGGTCCCCGATCTTCGCGACGCCGCCTGTTGCCACTGGAGGCATGATGATATGCAGGCGCAGCTCCGCTATCGTGGCCCTCGGCACTTCCCCTGGTCGGATGCCTTCTCCCTGCTGCGCTGCGCTGCGGTCGGGCGCGTGAACTGGCATATCGCGATCGGGCTCGGCATCGGGCGATGCTTGGCCTGATCCGCTTTCTTGTTGTCTTCGTTGTGCGTCTTCTTCGCGCGGAAGCAGCGCGCGAGGTGGTTGGCCCCCCCCCCTGTCCGTCACGTGCATGAGCTTGGCGAACCACTCGAGGGTATTTCTTCGTAACTTCGGGCAAGGCCTGCATCTGCGCGAGCGCGGGACTAATGCGCGCGAAGATTTGAACATGAGGTGGCCCGAAGTCCTTCTTTCACTCGTACGTGCGCGGGCGGTGGTGCACCCGGCCCATGCGCAGCCTCTCCGCCACCGCTGGGTAGGCGATCGGTAGGACGAGGCAGTCCCAGAGGGCCCCCATCAAGATGCGCAGCATTTGCGCGCCGTTGAGCGTGAGCTTTTGGAGCGTCAAGACCGGTTCCTGGGTCGCAACATCCACATCTTCTCCTGGGCCAGCCTCATTTGCACGCTGACGCTTGAGTTTGCGTCCGCGGCCATGCGCGGAGCCCGCGGCCCCCCCGCCCCGCCGCTGCCCGCGGCTGCCATCGGCGGCAGGCCGATCATCCACGGCGTCATCTGGCCCCGCCGCGCGCTGTTTGACGTGATCGAGGTGCTGGTGGACCTCTGAAGGGATGCGGTCACAAAGCCCGCGCGAGTAAGTCGCTGCAACTGCCGGCTTGACCTCGAACGAAACGGCCCCGGCGGGGCATCGCATCGGGCTCGATCGCGACAGTCTTCGCAAGTCGTGCACAGCTGGTCCTAGACGCGAACGCCTTTCTACGCCATGGTCACGCATTCGCTGTCGCGATCGTGGAATACAATTTTCCCACGTCGCGGGTCTTGTTCAAGTGGGCCGCCAGGGCCCTCATCGTGAACAAAAGATGCCCCCGCATATATCCCCCTGGCGCGTTTCGCGCGTGCGCGCGTGCTCGCGCATGTCCCCCTCGCCCTCCGCACGCACGTTCCCTCCGTATACCCCCCCCCCCTTTTCCTCGGACGCGTGACCTGTTGCACAAGTACCTAATGTTGCGCGGTTTCGTTTTGCAGAACGCCTTCCGGAAACTTTCGACCCTGTTATAGTGGAGCAGCCCCTCCTTTGCATGCCAAGCTGCTGCGCGCCGTGAGGCTAGACCTATCTTTGCGAAGATCTCCATGCCATTCTGGAACTGACGGGCCCGCGGGGCACTATGCCTTGCGAGCTCTCCATGGGGGGGGGGCCAGTCGAGGTCCATCTACTTTGAGGCCCAC